TTTCCTTAAAAAACTGAAAATAGAAGTACCATTTGACCCAGCAATTCCATTACTAGGAATATATCCTGAAGAGGTGAGAGATAGCGCATGAACAGACATATGTATACCTATGTTCATCGCAGTACAATTCACCATAGCAAAGAGATGGAAACAACCTAAATGCCCATCAACGGATGAGTGGATAACCAAATTATGGTATATCCACACAATGGAATACTATGCCACATTAAAAAATAATGAGGGCTATGCGAATCATCTCACCAACACAGATGAACCTGGAGGACATTATGCTGAGTGAAATAAGTCAATCACAGAAGGACAAGTATTGTATGAGCCCATTACTGTAAAAAGACAGAGAAGGGTTTGTTTGGGAAAGGGAACTCACCTATAAGTTACCAGGATGGGGAGGGAAAAGGAGGGATTAATTTAGGGCTAGTTGGGGCTTACATACTAACGTGGGTAGGGGGAGAGATATACGGGAAGGATATATGACTACCATGATAACATTGGGAAATGAGAGGACACCGAACTGTGCACATAAGAGATAGACGGCAGATGCTAAAACCAACCAATGCGTCCACGATACCACATTGCCATTAACACCAAACACTAGGCTATACTGATAAACACATAAATACCTGAGACGATCAAACAGGGATCAGTGAATAGAGGTATACTATTCACTGAGGCTAATCTTGTACAGACACCAGTGATACAAAATACCTGCAATCTTTACAGAGACAATAGAAGACAGACACAGAGTAATCCCTCACAGACATCCCAACACTATGGGAGAGAGATCCAATAGAGCTACTACCTCAGGACCATAGTACTGGGGTACACCAGACTCAAATGGCACAACAAAATACATAAAGCGTTGCTCCACATCCTACATTGGTGAGTAGCAACTGGGGTCTTAGAAGCTTTCAAGCAGCCATCTAAGATGCAGCTAATGGTCTCCTAGTGTCGGAAGTAAAGAAGAACACACACACACACACACACAAAAGAAAAACAAGAGCATTTAGAAGCAATCAACCCTAAGACACGATGGCCCTCAAGACCAGAAGAACTAGATGGTGCCCAGCTACCAATGCCAACCACTCAGGAAAGGATCAAATTTGGAGATCCTGGATAGAGTGGGAGGGAAAACGTGGAACAAAATCCAAAAACTCAATAATGACCAGAATTACTGGTCAGATGAAATCTGGTGAGACTCCCAATACTATGGCC